GTTAGGGTTGGAAAGGACCTTAAGATCATCTAGTTCAAACCACCCTGCCATGAGCAGTGACACCTCACACTAAACCGTGTCACCCAAGGCCTTGAACACTGCCAGCGATGGAGCATTCACAGCTTCCCTGGGCAACACATTCCGGTGCCTTATCACCCTTACAGTAAAGAACTTCTTCCTCATATCCAATCTAAACTTCCCCTGTTTAAGTTTTAACCCGTTACCCCTTGTCCTGGCACTACAGTCCCTAATGAAGAGTCCCTCCCCAGCATCATTATAGGCCCCCTGCAGATACTGGCAGGTTGCTATGGGGTCTCCACGCAGCCTCCTCTTCTCCAGAAAAAAAAATCATGCAGGAAAAAGACACGAAGGGCCTCAGGTGAGGGAGCTAGTCCTGTTAGGGCAGGACCCCTCCTGATCATCTACCAAAAAGGTCTTGGGAGTTGGGAAGTCTGCACTGACTGGAATCTAGCCAGTGTTACTCCAGTCCTCAAAAAGGGCATGAGGGAAGACCAGGGAACCTACAGACCTGTTAGTCTAATGTTGGTTGCAGAAAAAATTATGGGGAAGATTCTGCTTGGTTCTGTTGAAAGTCATTTAAAGAATAAAGAAATAGTCGTCTGGCACAGTCACATGGATTTACAAAGGCAAAGTCCTGTTTAACTAATTTGGTATCCTTCTATGATTAGGTCACCTGCCTACTGGATGAAGGGAAGGTGGTGGGGGTAGTTTTTCTGGACTTTAGTAAGGCTTTTGATACTGTCCCTGACAGCATCCTTCTGGAGAGGTTGGCCAACTGTGGGGACTAAGAAGGTTCACAGTGTGCTTGGTGAAGAAGTAGCTGAAGGGCAGAGCTCCCAAGGTTGTAGTGAATGGGACTGCATTTGGCTGGGGACTGGTCACCAGTGGTGTTCCTCAGGGCTCAATTCTACGGTTCTGGTTGACAGCAGCATTCCCTGGCAGCCCAGAGGGCAAACTGCATTCTGGGGTGCATCAAACCAGCATAACCAGCTGGTCAAAAGAGGTGATTATCCTGCTGTATTCAGTGTTGGTGGAGCCTCACCCTGAATCCGGTGTGCAGTTCTGGGCCCTAGAGCTTGAAGGACATTAAGGTCCTTGCATGCGTTCAGAGGAGGGCAACAGTGGTGGTAATGGGGCTGGAAAGAAGGTACTCTGAGTGCTTTGGGCTTGTTGAGTTTGCAGAAAAGGAGGCTGAGTGGTGATATGTTTTCCTCTCTACAGCTTCCTGAGGAGGGGAAGTGGAGAGGGTTTAGACATTAGGAAGCTTTTCTTTACTAAGAGGGTGGTCAGACACTGGAAGAGGCTTCCTAGAGAGGTGGTCAATGTCCCAGGCCTGTCACTGTTCAAAAGGCATTTTGACGATGCCCTTAACAACAACAGCATGCTTTAAGTTTTGGTCAGCCCTGAATTGGTCATGCAGTTGGACTGGATGATTGTTGTGGGTCCCTTCCAACCAAAATTCCGTTCTGTTTTGTTCTTATTTATCTTGTTCCACTTTAAATACAATGTTGGCTATTTAGATGCCTATTTCCGCTTCTTAGTTTTGAACTTTTAAACTACACCATCCTAATTGTAGCTTGCCTGAGTGTGCCAGATTTTAGTGCTTGTACTAATTGGGACTACTGCCTGTAAAACAAAGTTTAGATCAGTGGTATTTTAATAGTTGCATTGAAAGACGATCAAAACGTAAAATTGGCTAAGAGTTTGCCAGGAACTAAATGTCGTACTTACACATCTAGAATTTGCTTGGAACATTGAAGAGGATTTCAAGCCTGTTCCAGATACCTGGATTCCAGCAAAGGACATAGAGCTTTCTAATGGCAATCCCTTGCCTGATGAGAACGGACATATGCCAGGTACTTAAGATGCAGAATGGGTAAAGTGGGTGGGGGGAAATCCATTTTTGAAGTTAATTAGAATTAGTTGTAGAGTAAAAAGTAGTAGTTAACCTGTTCAGAAAAGAATTGCATGTCATTCATTCAGTGTCTAGAAAGGCTTTGTTCTTCTGACACAATGAAAATAATTGCAGTTTGCTGTACAGTCTTACAGGGCTTCAGCTGAAGGCATAGTTGTCCTGTTTGCATTCCTCTGACATTTCTCTGAGACACAACAGAGTTTCTCTTGTTACTCTTTCTGTTCGGAGTTAATGGTGTGTATTGTTGTTTTGGGTTTTAATGCATGTACAATTCTACTACATGTTTGATAACTTCAGGTATTTACTTTGGTAAAATGAAATGTTTTCTCCTAGGTTGGGTGCCTGTGGAGAAAAATAGTAAGCAGTATTGCTGGCACTCATCCGTTGTAAATTATGAGGCTGAAATAGCACTGGTATTGAAACACCATGCTGATCCAGGGCTTCTGGAAATCAGCCCAGTGCCATTATCAGAAATTTTAGAGCAAACACTGGAGCTTATTGGGACTAATATTAATGCAAATCCGTATGGTAAGTTTCTATGGTCTTTTCTTAAATACTTTCCTATTTGGTGATATTTTTGAGTTAAGTCAATGCTTTTTTTTTTATTTGCTTTTTTTTTTTAATAAGTTTTTTTAAAAGTTCCAAGTTAGCAGTGTAACTTTTTTAGAAAGGAGAGAAAGGGCTGGCTCAAAAAACACCCACCCAGAAATGCTCGCCTCAGAAAGCTGAGTTTTTACGAAACTATGTTTAGTAAACCTGTTTTCACCTGCGTGTTCTTCAGGAGTTACTAGAAGAATGCTTTGCATTACTCTTTAGTTGTTTAAAATGTTACTATTAAAATACTAAAATATTTAAGATTGTTTGTTAGTGTCTTTTCTTGACTTTTTTTTTTCCTTGCTCTTTTGATGTTCTTTATTCCCTTAAAGCAGAAAATGATTGCTTGTTTTTTTTTTCCTGTAAAGTCAGAAATTGTAATTTTTTAATTATAAAATCTTATGAATACTTTTTTAGGGAAATGTAATTTAAGCTAAATTTTGGTTGTGGCTTCTCTGTAAAATCCTTACAACAACAAAAATAGATATGAGCACAACTGATTTCTGAGCGTTGCTGTTAGGGTAACTTGCAAGGACAGATAGGAAAAATAGTAGTATCTGGTCTAAGCATTTTCTCAGAATGTAAAGGAAATGCAACACAAAAGTTTAATGGCTGTATTCTTAAATGGAGACTTACACTGAACGGTCAGCGAAGCAGCAATGCAGTTGTTAACAGCCTGGCTTAAGTATTAATCTATATTTATAAGAAAATATATAAATAAAAGGTTACGTGAGGAAGAAACAGCTACATTTGGTACTTAAAAGTACGTATTTAACTGTTCCCTTAAACAGTTCTCTTAACTGTTACAGAATCTAATAAAAGTCTACCTTTAATAGTGCTTTAGATAGCCATAGTAACAAAAGTGAGGAAAATCTTAACGCACGTAACTAGCAGCAGTTGTTTGTTTTTTTTTCTCTTAACGTAGGATTAGGAAGCAAGAAGCAGCCTGTACATCTTCTTGTGCCACATGGAGCATTTGAAATAAAGAATCCGCCCCCTCTGAAACAAAATGACATACTATCTTGGTTTGAAGGCTGCAGTGAGGGTAAAGTGGAAGGAATTGTGTGGCACTGCAATGATGGGTGTTTAATCAAGGTAAATATATATGTGGGCATGGGGGAAGCAGTAGAGTAATTCATACGACTTCAAGTGAGGTATTCACTTCTTGTCTCGCTTTCCAAATTCTTTAGTAGTAACGTTCTCCGAGCAAGTGAGATGACAGTAGAATTAGTCAAGACAGTGAATCACTACAGTGACAACATATTAAACTTTTTCATTATCTACATTATACTAATAAGGTAATTGAGAACATAGTATTTTCTTGCCTCTCAGTATAGGAATACTCAACATTTTAAAGCTTCGTTTCTTTGTCTTAAAAATTCCTTTCTTGTAATGTTGACTTACAGAACAAGTATCGCTAATAAGAATGTGGGTTTTGATTAACTGGCAGGTTCGTATTTTTTCCTGAAGCTCTGGATGACACCTTGGTTCTGGTTTGTCTTGTGCTTTGCTGTTACTCGTGTTACTCAGATAACTGCTTAATGATTCTAAGTGCCCCAGTGCAGAGGATTTTCGAATGAAAGCACATGCACACCCACACCTCCCTGCAAGTTGGAACTGTTGGGCTACTATACCAGAACCTCTAAGCTGATTTTACTTCTTTCTATTTTAGCTCCATCGCCATCATCTTGGCTTACGCTGGCCACTTGCAGAGACGCACCTCAATTCTCAGCCGGTTGTAATTTCTTTTAATAGAGCTAAATATGACTGTGACTTTGAACCAAAGAGTTTGTTTCACCATTTTTCAAACTTGAATGGTCAAAGATTTGACAGACTCCAAGATATCAAGTTTGATGCTTGATATGGGTTTTATGAGCTACATTCCTCCTGCGTCTACCACAGAACTCTTTACAAATAATCTCCTATCTCGGGCAACGGCCTAGGTACTGTGTGCAATGTTAAGTTTTTCCTAAATGACTGATTTGATGTAGCGAGAGATCCAACATCCAGAGCAGAGATCTAGCTTTTAGCATGTTTCTTTTCAGTTTGGAAAAATTCTTAACTTTTGAATCCATTTCTGGAAACTGTTATAAGTTAAGTGTCAGAAGCATACTGTAAAGGATGTATTTCAGGTGGGCCCATAAAATTGCATTTTTTATTTTTTCTAAGTTGTAGCAGTTTCTTTTGGTGGAAAACTTTTCATTGGTATTACTTAACTGGTAAGCTGCAGCATTATACTGTTACTCAAAAGCCCACTCAAGCTATACGCTACTTAAGTCCGTCTGCTATTTTGAGACAAAAAGCGTGAAAGAAAGTAAACTTCTGTTTTAGAGGTCCTCAGTGATTTGAGACATGACTTGGCTCAATAACACCCAGACTGCATCTCAATTAGGAAACTTCATCAAGGGCATATTAAGAAAGATGACCTATAAATAATAAAGGTGAGACCGCCCGATTGTTTGGAGTTGGCTTTATTTGTGCTGTAAAAGTATACATCCAGCTATATAAAATATACAAAATGAAAAATTATTTAAATACCAAAACACCATTAGATTGGTTGAAATACTACTATAACTTTATTTTCAATTCTTTGTTCTTGGATTTTCTAAAATTTGAGGTAAAAACAGTCAGGGATGTAAGCGCAGGTAGTCAGCACACTGACCCTGAGTCCACAGTTAAGGATGATAGCGCGAGACAGCAGAACGAATTGCACGTTTTTACTGGTCTGGAACTTGGCAGACTTGGTACATTTTAAGAGTTTCTTGACTTACAGGGTAAGTCCAAGGTTTCAACTTCGCTTAACACCTGTGTATAACTCAAATTACTGTTCTAAATTAAGATACAGTATTGCAAAGGGGCTGGGAGAAGTAAAACTCATTTTTGACTGGTGTATATAAATACTGACCATAATCTGTCGACTAATCCAATTCTGTGCTCTTAGGTATGTGCCAAACTATTGTAACTTCAATAGACTTGTATTATTCCGAGATAAAAAACAGATAAAATAAATATTATGAAATTGCCCCCGAATTTATTTACTGTATTAATACTGAGGACACTAAACACTAGCCTAATCAACAGAAACATTGCCTGGACTATCCCCTTGAATGCCAAACTCTTCAGAAAGCTGCTTTAGTTTCTCTTCTAAGATAATATTTTTTTTAACTTCTTCACTGTAGTTATATTTCAGATCTTCAATTTCTTCAAAAAAGGAAGGGCCATAGTTTTCTAGTTCTCTTCTCAGCGCTTTTGTTTCTTCCTGTTAAAAAGAATGAAGGAATACACTACCTTTATCCGGAACTTGGGAAATACATGTCAACAACTTAAGTGGTAAATGATGAGATAATAATAAGCATGTTCTCTAGAGACACTAGATATTAGTTTAGATATTAACCAACTCCTCCTAGATAACCACTGTCTCATTGTCTTGCCCAGGATGATCTTTGCAACTCACCCTTAATTGCTGTTTCTCCAGCTCAGAGGCTTTCAACTGTGTCTGGAGGTCAGCTGCTTCCATTAACCTGTCACTTTTATCCTTCTGTAAAATTTCATTCTGTCCTGCAAAAGTCATGGTAATTTGTTACAAAATTTAAGGTAATGAAAAACAATGATACGAGTTATCTTGTCACAGTAATTCTGCATCCCCTGAAAGCTGAACAATTTGTAACAGTGTGTAAACCCAATGGGGATCAACAACCACCAAAAATTCAAGTCACTTGGGCTTTAGTTCTTACACAAATTAAGTGGGTGTGTCTGGCTCCTGTAACTGAATGCAGTGCTCCCATTGCCAGTCCTGCATTCAGTTTCTCTGAGTTAAATGCAGGAAATTTGGCAATAACGTAGTGTAAGGATCTTGTTAACTATAATCATAATTTCAGAAAGGGTTAGTTTTTCTTTTCCCAGTCATACGGCAACGTGCTGCTCTATAGTGCTCTGCTTTTCCCTTGGGAGTCTTAAACTATTTGCAGAGCTGGTATCTGGGAAGAGATGAATAGAATTCTATGGCAGCTTCCAACCCAAGGCAGAAGGGGTAATAAGCAGGAGGATTTCAGTGAATGACTGACACAAGAAGTCTTTTGAGGTTTATAAAGCAAAGCGATGAACTATACATCCTCTTGGAAAGGGAAATCTGACAAATATTACGAGCTCTTGTTCGTAAGATCTTAAAAATCTCCGCAATTAGTTAACACTTCTCTATAAACCCCTTGTGAAAGTAACTCCAAAATCCAGGACCTTAATTTGCTCCAGTTTACGCTACTCTGTAATTAACATAATTCACATAATTCTGTAGGTTTATTACCATTTTGCACATACATTTTAACCTATTTTTACTTAAGGCCCCAAATACAGGAGGATCATCATTTTAGTATTGAAAACGATTACCAGCTGCAGAAACTTCGCTTGTACATGTGTGCATGTGGTGCTTATAATCTTCCACCTGCTGAGCTAGTTCTGCTTTGTCTTTCTCTAATCGGTTATTAGTTAATCTGGAATATAAAACATTTTTAGAATAATTTTTAAAAACTGTTAAACTATTTTAGAATATAAAATATATAAGTAAAAATCGCGGTGGCCGTTTCCTGATTATTCTCATGTATATTGGCTGAATTATTTATTTAGGTATTTAAAGAGTACATTACCTTAAAAGCTGAAGCTCCCTGAAAAGGCTTTGCTCTGTCCTTGTACCTTCAGGAAACTGTTTGAGAAGCTCAATCTTAAAAGAAAAATTAAGAAAGTTTTACTCTTGAAACAGTATCCAGAGGTAATACAGTTCAGATGGAGTTCTCTTTGATACCGAATTAGAAAAATGAATGAAAATAATACTAAGGACATAACCACGTACTAGATCATCAGAGTGTTCATCTACTGACAGTTTTCACAAAGCTAATTACCTACAGAGGGGTGTAGCCTCTTCAAGTGCTTTTCAGTAGAGGATGCAGGAGCAAAAAATCAGAGGCTATACGAGCAAAAAATACAAGACTATATATTTGAATGAAGTGACAATTTATGAACTCTCCTAAGGCTATGGTCAGTGATAGCCGTTCGTTCTATTATTAACTAAAATGATAAGGATTTGTTTGGTTGTGTTTATTTTTTTTTAACAACCATCAATCTCTTGTTTCTTTTTAATGTAGCTACCCTTGACACATCTCTTCATCAGTATTTGAGACACAAAACAAACTGGGAAGTGTGTTGCTCCACAGTAGCATCACATAATGAAATAATTTTCTCTCTGTGTTAATTTTGCTGCTGTTGTACACTTCCTGTTAATAATCTGACTTTAGAAAAGGAAAACCAAACACAAATTAACAAAATTTTTTTTTTATAGCACTCAATTCCAAGTTCTATTTATTGAATGCTTTCGTTGCCTACAGGAAATATATGACTTCCTATAGTGGAAGTTGTGTGTTTGATTCAGTACAACAAGAATGGCCAGTACAAGATGCCTGGGGAGCAAAACCCTGCACGTATTAATAAATGAGAGGATGGAAGCTAACCTAGGTGGGTAGTCCTAGGGCTGCATCTGCAAAGTACTTAAAAGCCAAAATTTGATACATCTTTTCAAAGGTGCCGGAGTTTAAAATTTATCAACTCTTCCATGTGTGAAATAATGTTTGTATGACTTATTAGGGACTGCATATTCAGAGGCCATATTGGTAATAGGCATGAAGATCCATGCCCTTTATGGTGGCAGAGTTAATCAGTCCCCCAAAAAAGACCTGGAAGAGGTAAGTTCCTCCAGCAAACTCACTCCTGCAGTGGAACAAGCTAGAAAGATTTTATTTGAAGCATCTGTACCTACATGTGATCAATGAAAGCTATCATTAAAAAAAAAAACCAAACAAACCAACAACAAACACATGGAAGAATACTACAGAAAAAAAAAATTCCCCTGAGACTGCAAGTCAGAAGTATATGTTGATAATCTGTAGTAAACCTCATTAATGGCTAAAACATGTAAATGTACAGGTACAGCAACCAGGGCTGAAAAAACCCATAAAAGCATGGATCAGAGAAAAATAACAAACCAAACTCTGCCCATATAGATATTAGAAAGAAATAAATATTAAGGAATTTATTCTCAGAGTCATCTGGCTAAATTTTACTCACTTGTTCTTTTAGATCTTGTAAGTTTTTATCAGCATTCTGTTCACGTTCTGTTGCTTCCTGCAGCAGCCGTTTAAGGTCAGTAATGCTTTGGGTTTTTTTAGCAATATGCATTTCCATTTCCTTTATCTTCGTTTTGTGCATCCTGGTAGTATTTTTATTTAGAGAAAGATAAGAGCAGAAGCTAATACTTTTGTAGAAATAGAGACTAAAATATCTGTGGGAGATTAAATGCCATAAAATACACTCTACGTTTGGGGCATTGGTCTTAAAAATAAGTGAGCTGAAAGAAAAATGCATTTTTAATCTTAGAGTAAAGGCTTTTGCAAGCGTTACACCTTTGTGGATCTTACTTAGTGTCTGTACTTTATTAAAGGGGGACTGAGATCTTTTTACTCTATTACACGTGAACCCTAAACTACCTCCTGCTAAAAACATGCACATCTGTTATTGATACAGCATGCACATGGGTTGGGTCTTACTTCAGTGTCATATCTTTGATTGATTGAAATAAATTAATGTACTGAGAAAGGGCTAATATAGATACAGAAGATGAAGTTTCCAAAGACAAAAACATTCTGCAAGAACTTCTGTTTACCCTGGAGTAACAGTAGTTGGAAGAGGATTCTGTTTCGATTTGAGCCATAGAAGGCTACAAAAAGGTTTTTTGTAGAATCATTGAAATGTTGGCTGGAAGGTACCTCTGGAGATCACAAGGTCCAATCTCCTGTCTGAAGCGGGCTTTCAGATACCACTGTGATCTACGTCTTGCTACCAGCTGAAGAGCCTTCCAAAGGATCACTTGGATGATCCCCCTGTCTGCCCTTCAGACACCTTCTACTATGACATCCATACTTTGGAAGATTTGCTGGTGGGGTGGACTGCATGTTGAAGTGACCTGGTGAGCTCCTTTAGGTTAGTAATGTCTTAACCTCAGTCACTTACTTTAAAATCATCTTAAAGTAAACGCAAATAAAAGTTTATTCACACCACTTGAAATAGACAAGCACAATTAAGCATAACCATATATTTTATACCTACCTACCTGTCTACAACTGTGTATCTATGTCAGCTTAACAGAACTAAGTAGAAATGTTTTTGAACAGGTGGAGAGCTAGAAGAAAAACTATGTTCAAACCACTGAGCTGACACACTAGTTACTAAGGGCCTACCATCTTCACTGCATGTTCCTGTCTTCCTCCTCCAGTGGCTGGCAGCCGGTTTTGCTTTCCTTCCGTATGCTAAATATGGCTGTCACTGACCTTGCGTAGGGACATTTTACCTCACTACATGGTTAGGGGGAAGGTTAGGAAGGAAGAAAAAAAAAAGGACAGCTTTCTGAAGTCTCAGTGAAGTAAAATGGCTCAGCAGTATGGCAGAGACACACTAAATCTGAAAGGGATCTTGTGGGAGTACAAGGCTGGGCATCAGCAGAAAGATTGTTCAACACTGTTACGACCTAGGATGAAATCAGACAGGCTTCTCCTGTCCAGCTGATTTTCTGCCCTAATAATGTGGCTGTCAGAGGTTCTGGTTTTGTAGATATCTTCCACTTCTGTTTACAACTATTAAATAGTACTTTTTGCAACATGTCATCTTAATGTCATCCTGAGATCATCCATGACTAAGTACTTCTTCCCCGGATTTGCTCCCTTCCATCCTTAGGCAGGACACAGGCTATTTATTTATTTTAATGGCACATGCATTGTTTTGTTTTCGTGTCCTTTTCTGAGTTACATCAGTAAATGAGATAATATCCAGTTAAAAATTCTTGCCTCAAGAGGAGTAAAATTCTCATTCCTCTTCTACTTTGATGAATCCACACACGTGTATTTCATGTGAATGTATCTTCTGTCAGTCTTTATATCACTCTAGCGGGACATGTAACTAGCATCTTTCTTTGCAGCTCATGACTGAAAGGGGTGTTAACAGGAATGGTCTGGGGGTGACTGTTTGCCAAAATCATTACTTTAAAACAACTGATAGGTAATGTGCAGATAACTTACTGGTAAAGAGTTACAGACATTTACTACCAAACAGAACATGATTTTTGGTTCTGATCTCAAAGTCTGAGTTTTATCTAAAAATCTGGAAATGGTGGTTTACACGCTTCAAATAATATATTGAAAAAGACAATCCAGTGCCAGTCTGTCAGTTTTTCTCCCTTCTTCTACAGATAACAGAACCAGCTGGCTGACTGCAATTAGCCTTCAGAACACACACACCAGGGAGCATCAGCTATGACTATATGCCCCAAGGAATATAGAAATCCAGTGTGTTTCCTAACACAACCTCTGCACATTGACATGGTTAAAACCTAGATTCAAATCCAGCCAAGCTGGGAAAAGCAGGTTCCTGACTTACAGTTTTTGTTTTAGATTATGATCCATGCGGTAAGGTACTGGAAAATTTCTAAGCTCAGCAAAAACGCTGACATTCCACAAAGCACAAATACAATACATTTAACCAGCAAGGAACACAAAATACTTCCTTTACCAAAACTATCCACAAGCCTACAGCTAATCTGAAGAAGGGAGATAAGTCACTGGCTACTCTGTAGAAGCAGCTGACAGGCCAGTATTTAAGGACACCAGATCTCTGCTGGACCTTTATACTGATTCTACATATTGATATATAATCAGAAAATAAAATACTGATGATACTAAACTATCTTCAAAAGAAGAAAGAAATTATGAAAATTCAAGCCTAATTTGTTTGCTAATATTTAAAGAGAAATTATCTTCCTTACTTCATTCTCAATTCCTACCTTGTTACAATGGGCTTCCAGGTTTTGCTGTCAGCTCCATCAATTTGGCTCTCAGCCAGATTTAGCCTCTTAATGGTTTCCTCCAGCTGCCCTGTTAACTTCTCATTTAATACCTCCAAGTTATTCTTTGCTATTCGTAGCTTCTCTCCATTGTCAGCTTCCTATTGTTCAATAAAAACAAAAGTTTACGGAATACTTAACCTAACGAAGCTCAGGATTATCTGAAGTGAGGGTGGGATAGGGTCAGTGCTGATTTAGAGGAAAACTACCTACAAGATCACTACTGCTATAACTTCCAAATTCTGTCTTTGGCTGCTCCCTGGATGTCTCCCCTCCACGTATAATTCAAAATTCTATCATAGCAATAGCAGTTCTTAGAAAAAGTGTCCAATCCATATCAACCATTAAAAATATATATAAATACACTTACCACGACCAGTAACTAATGGAAATCAAGGGATGCATTACAATGACCATACCTTTTTCAGTTCTTTACGCAGCCTCTCGTTTTCAGTAATGACTTTTTCCATTCCTTTGGTTTTAGAGTCATGACGCATACTCAGCTGGTCCCCCACCTGAAGTTTCATCTTTTCCATTTCAGACTAAATATCAAACAGTTTCTTAAAATACATATGCATTGCTTAGTAGAAAATATCAGATCTCCATTTTTAAAGCATGGCATAGTGACAGCTACCTAGCACAATGAACATAACATTTAATCATGTATTTAAATATATCCTTAAGGCACAGAGTGCCATTACATAAAACATGCAGTACAATGAAGTTCTGCTTTTCTATTCTACAGCCTTCATATTTGGTATTCTTAAACCACTTTTCTGCCAGTCGATACCAATAACAGGCTTGCCGTTTCATTTTCCTACTAACTTGCACGCTAACCGGCTATCTGAATATAGTTGCTGGAAAGATATCGGTACCTTTAGCTTCTCATTTTCCTGTTCAAGACCAAGTAATTTCTCATTAGAAACCACAGCTGGAGTTTTTTTCAGATCCTCATTTTCTCTTTGGACTCTCTCTACAACCTTTTTCATCAAACCAATTGTTTTTTCCAATTCTGCAACTGTCTTTCCGCTTCTACCAGCCTATAGAGAGGAAAGAAAAAAAGTCAAAGGAAGTTAACAGTTCATCTTAACATTCTGAGATACTCCAAATGTTATTTTATCACTTATTTCCCCGCTGCAATGTCTGTTTATTAAAAAAAGTTATATTTTGGTGTGAGTTGAGCCCTGAAGTTTCTTGCATACTTAGCTCCTCAAAGTCAAGACAGCAATTCCTTCATTTTCTGTGTTACTCAAGAAAGCTGCAGTTAGTCTCGAAATCTGCTGTGCTTTATGAACTAGACTGAAACATCGGCAAAATAAATCAAAGTACTACTTTATTTTTTAGCTTTCTTGTACAGCAGTTCCCTCATCCAACAGACCATGCAACTGCTTGAATGCTAATACTGTCTGAAGGAAAATAAACTTCTGCTGGATGAAAGTGACAGGAATAACTACATTTTAAAGCATAAGTAAATCTCCCTTTTCCCAAGGCATATATTCTCCTTGCAGAGTGATAAATATTTAAAAAATACATATCCCTTATTTCTCCGCATATGCTAGGCTGCTGAATATTTCAACTTCTAAATGTAGAACACAGAAACTGTAAGTTTTGGGGTTTGGGGATGGGGTTGTTTTCTTGTGTTTTTATAAATATCAAAGTCTTTTAATAATTACTTTACAAATCCAGATTAGCACAAGCTGTAAAGACTTCAAATGCTGTGGGAGGTGGAAACACAGTAAGAAGCTGAGAGCTTTAAAATTTATAGAATACGAATCAAATATGTTTTGATCCTATACTGTCTTGTTACAAATGAGACAAATACTGTAAGTATGAAGTAGCATGGATTTTCTGATGCTCACTGGAGTTACCAGCAAAGCTTTTCACAACTTTAATGATCCAGAACTAGACCCATAGAAAAATCACTGTATCAATGATAAACAGTTCAGGTATTAATAACACTTCAAAGCAAGTGAGCTTGCAGTTGCTGTTAGAAAATAACCTGATTTTTTGAATCTTATAAAAAACACATTAAAGGTTTCTAAAGTACCATTTTATGGGAGCAAATTAGTAATACTCTAGCGGATTAAGTTCAACTGTAAAAAAACCCAAAATAAAACTGAAACCCCAGACCTCCCCTCTCCCCCAAAAGACTGAAGAAACCTCCACATGTCTTCTGAAAGAAAATTGTTTCAACTGGAATGTCAATGCTGACCATTTCCAATTATGAAAAAAAGCCTAAGAAATTCATTTAAATTAGACAATATTACCTAAACCGTAGTTCTGACAGTTGTCCTGCAAAGGCAGGATAATCATGAAGAGTCTTTTTAACTGTATGCAAAAAGTAGGAGTTTTCTGTATAAATGATGTGAAATCTTCTTTTACAGTTTTGAAATGTATGCTACAAAGACCTGAATTTGAAAGCTGTATTTGTCACTCTTTCCTTCCATTCTTCTTTCAGTTTAGGAAACAAAACCACATTTTCGTGATAAGGTATTTGGAAAAGCCTCTTTCTCTTTGGTTTGACTTTCCTTCCTCTCTTTGCCAAAGTCCACCAGTCATAGACATTATCATCAGCTGACCTACAAAGACATCAAAATCCGATGTTCCAGCTCAAGTAAAGCAAAACACTAGGGTATAACTTCCCTTGCGTGTTTTTGTGTGCTTGCATTTTTTTTCAGGCAGCCAATAGCATGAGCTATCACACTTCTGATAAGGCAGGTATTACTCACATAGATCATACATAACAAACCTGACACATCAGACATTCTCAGCAAGGAATAAAGAATCTGTTAGAAACAGTGTAGTATATCTATCCCAGCCTATAAACACCTCCAATCAGTACCACAGTCAGTAACCAAGAGGATTAAAATAAGTGGGGGAACAAAAAGTGGCTGGTAACAAGTACGTGATCCTGCAGTGAGGTGCAGACATATGGAAGTCCAGACATTTATTTTAGCCTGAGCAGTTGAGTCTATTTGTCACTGTCACTTTATTCAGTTGCCAAAAATCTCTTCATTGTCAAAGCATACCCTGTTACTAAGGTATGCAATTATATATTATTTCTTCGCTTGCAAAAGAAGGCAAAAGCATTTCTCTCTCACATTCCATTATACCTTAGTAAGTTGAATTTGCACCTAGCATTTGGAATTTATCTACGTTCCTTCATGCAAAAATTGCAAGGTGTTAATAAATAGACATTTATAATTTAGATCTTATGCTGTAGTCCACCCTGTTTAGTTAAGAAGCAAATGCAATTAGCTGTGATAACTGGCATAGATTTATTCTGGTTATTTATTAGGAGGGAGAAGCAGCAGCAATAATAGTCTAGTAGACTAAACTAAACTAAACTAAAGCAGTTGGATAGAAAAAAAAATCAATCCTGGTCTTAACTATAGCAGTAGTATAGAATGGATCTGACTTTTATTTTTCAGGAGAGCCACAGTCTGTGGCCCACCCTATACCATCAGCGACACCAGTGAAGGAGAAAAGAGCAAACCAAGAGGTCTGCTGCATTTAAAAGCATTTGACAGTGGAGTTCCTGGTAGAACCCACACAGAGCTTCTATTTCTTTGTGAAAAAAAAAGATCACTCTGATGTAGAGTTATTTTCGGGTTTACAGGAGTATATGGGCTGTGCCTACCTGGTATAACGTGAATTAATCCTGTGCTGTATCTGTCCACATTTCACCAAAGAGGTTGTATTGTGTTAATTAACTGTTCACTAACTAGGGTTTTTCTTTCTTAATTCTGTCAGATTTACATGTCTATTTTCTCACGCTCTGTATTTTGTGACAGTTTAAATACAAGCTTCCTACTTGGAAGCTAATGGTTCCATTTCCAGCACATTCTTTTGGCTGAAGTGGATATCATGCAACGAAAATTGAAGTCTTAATTCTCTTAAACTTAACTCTGAAGTTGAGCTTATATAACAGCATTCATCTCATGAGTGATTTATTTCTAGAGTGAAAGCCAGACAGAAAGTAATATAATTACAATGATTGCCTTTGAGATCTCAAAAGGCAGAATCTTGCAAGACCTAAGAGTTTACCCTTATCAAAGATATAGCAGCATCTCAGAGGAGAAGATCAGGCAAGGCCAGAGAAGGCTGGCCACGAAATAAATGTTTGATTGTTGCTGAACTGTTTTCTTTTGGCAAAATGAAAATGAGTTCTTATTTATTAAGCACCGATACAATGGTGACAGCAGACATTCATAAAAAGTTGGATAAGGTACAACAGCACTGTTTTCTCTACTTCAGTACAGAGTATCAAGGGCAGAGGACAGAAAGAAAGAGTAAGACTTCGATCACCACTTAGCAGCTCAAATGAAACAATTACTATGGCGGTATTTATTTTAATTTGAAGATCCAGAAGTATCAATCCACAATACCTTCTGTTTTATTTTATAGCTACATTCTATGATTTGTTCTAGTTTTTAATCTTCTTTCAGAAAGAAACCAGCTCCAAAAAGAAATGGCTACATCAGCATCATATTTTTTCTATTTTTACTTCCATCTTGTGCAAAATAATGTTTTGACCGCCAAGAAACTTGTAGAACAAAAGAAGAACAAGAGCGTAACAAAATATCAAATTCCCATAAATGCTGTTATAAAGTAGGTGGCCAGCTTCAAGGGGAAAAAGCAAACTGAATCAAACCAACCTCCTTTGCTTAATTCTGCTTCCTGTTCCCAAGTTACAGTAAGTACTGAGTTGATATTACGTATCAAAGAACCCACAGAAGTCCTCAATCTCAAGACGCATTTCCAGGAAAAGCTCTTTGAAAACCTCAGGTTGTTCATCTGTTTGGTTGGTTTGTTTGTTTTGCTTTGCTGACTTTAAACTTTCTAACATATAAAAGCCACTTGCAGGCTATAAGCTGTAGTTGTAAGCATCCCGTCCAAACTGAAAGGCCGCAAAATAACACCTATTCACATCAAATTCACAAAGTGATTTTTCCTCATCCTCTTGACTTGTTCTCCTTCAACTCCCTCACTTGTTAGTACTTGTCTTGTACACCTCAGTCGTGCACATATTTTCAATTATTTTCTTCTTGGTTTTATGTTAGACTTTTCCCTCTTCCCGTTTTCAATGTTTTTCCTCCCTATTTGATCAAACTTAAGTTTCATAAACTCTGTTAGAGTAGCAAGTCTCAAACATTAGTCAAGATAATTATGACAATATCATAACAATATTATATTCAATATTAATACGTCCAGTATTATAACCAGAGCGGTTAGAACATAATCTAAACATGTTAATAAACCCCTGGGTGCAAACAGGTGACACTAGGTAGACAGGAATTTGGGTTGATAATCAGAGGTCACTGATGTGTACCTGCAATCTACCCTACAATAAGTATGCAGAGAGAAGGATGCCCCCAGTCCTTACAGACGGAAAGCTAAATACAAAAGGCAATTCAGAGTACTAAGAAAGAGGAGGTACGTCCAGCTTCTGTAACAGGTTCAAAAGCTCTGCTGCTTTTATTATATGTAGTGTCTGACCAGCATCCCATCCAGCTGCTCATGAGAACTTTCCAAGAGGCATTTTCACTCTATCTACCTGGGAGCCCAAGTGTCTATTCATGCTTGGGGACTGTATGAAGCAGAAGTTGTCAAAGGGTCAGGTAGTGTATCATTTGAGTTATCCAGTGAATTTCTTCCCCCACAATGAGTCTTCCCCAGCTATTTTGCCTCCAACATTTCCTAAATAACTTCTGTGGTTCATGCTTTGTCTCAACCCGTCCCACACCTGGCCCTTTAGTTATCTTGATTATCATAGCTACCTCAGTTTTTTATTCCAGAAATTAGGTTAAATCTTTATCACTTCTCACTCCCCACAGTTTTTGTGCAGTTACACTGAGACCTCACTTCTTTCCCATTAGCCTAAACAAGACTGTAGGGTACCTCCACACCCCAAATCATGCCTTGGACAGTGACTGTAAACTGCCGCAGCCTTTTACCCTACCTAGAGTTTACCTTTGTCTAATTCACAGCTCACGCTGCAAAGAAAACTCTCCTCTTAAGATGTGGACCAAACCAACTGTCCTCTCTGATGCCCCGGGGAGTATTGCAACTGTTCTGCATTTGTAAGTGAAAATCCTGGGAGCAGGTGAGAAAGGAGAAACAGGGGAGCAGAAAAGCACTGTCTTACCTAAAGGTAAGGGAAGTGTCACCTTACAAGGAAGGTGCCATTTACCCAATCACTGTCACACTTCTGCAGTTAAATTCCATTAAGCTACAAAAGAACCTATGCAAAATAAGCAATGCTTGTGCGCTCCCTCCCAGCACAGCAGAGAG